GACAGGTACACATTATTATATACAGAACGGATACACGACAAGGACCTACTGTATAGCATGGGGAACTGTATTCGATTTCTTGTAATGACATATAATGGAGAAGAATCTGAAAAGAAAAAATACATACATGTATATGTATTTCTGAACTGGTTGGCTGCACACCTGAAGCTAACACTGTAAATTAACTACACTTCAAAAAAATTTTTTTAATTTACAAAAAAGTTAAAATCGATTTTAAACTCTAGTTACGGGTTGGTAAAATCAGTGATCAGGCTCAGCGATTGTGGTGATGGTTTTGTCCCTGACGTTCTTTCTAAACTACCTCCTGCTTGGTTGTTTGTATGGAATTTGAAACTTTTCAATACTGTGTCTCTTTCATCTGTAATGGACAGTTGAAAAGAGATTCATTACCAGTAGCAGTGTCTTCACTTGTTTTCTGCTGTGAACTTTGTAGTTTTGAGTAAGAGATAAATAAACCACATGGGGAATTCGGAAGTTTGAAATCTTAAAGCAAATGCCCCACCCAACAGAGGGTGTGCTTGTGGCAGAGGACGCGAGCTGGACAGGTGGCTGCCCACGAAGGGCCCTGGGCGAGTTTCTCCATGAACCCCTGTTAGGTGGGAAGCAGAGAAAAGAGCCCGTTAGGTGGCCCTAATGCTACCAAAGTACAAGTCACCGAGCAGACACGCCGACAACGTTGAACAAATGAACAAAGAGTAAATGAATGGAAATAAATCATGGAGGATATTTAGGATTTAGAAAACTTCTTGATGTTTGGAATTTCCCAAAGCGAATGATTTCCTTCTGGTTTTGATTTGCCTTATTTCCTTCCTACTTGTTTTCTTGAGAAAAGTTGAGGACCCCTAATCTACAGGGAGAGGCATCAGGTCACTGCCCCACAGGCTGTGGGGGAGATCAAAGGACACAGGCAGCTGCACAGAGACTCGTGGTTTTGGCTAAGAGACCACAAGAGGAAGGGGAGAAGCTAAGTCTGGGATTAATATGGAGGGACAATGACAAAATGGGAAACTGCCACGGAGCCACTTCAAGATGAAATAATTGCATCGGTGGGGGGAGAGTAACAGCTCAGTGGTAGAGTGCACATTCAGTGTGCACGAGGTCCTGGGTTCAATCCCCAGTACCTCCATTAAAAAATGGAAGTAATTGCATTTGGAAAATAAAGTTTTACTGGATGAGGTACAAGCAAATTGCATAAGTCTCTCTGTATGCCCACGCAGCTCATAAAGGTTTGCCTTCATTTCTAAAATAAACTAAAAGAAAGTAAAGATCTAAGCTAAATGACCAACATTTTAAAGTAAATCTGAAAGGATTTTTATCAAAATGATACATGGTTAAAATATTGGCATACCAAAAGGCTTGCTAAAACATCCTGTCAAAAGAAACCCATCATATTTCTCAGGGGCAACCACTTTTAACTTTTTTTTATTACCTGTTTCTTTGCATCATTATCTCCATTACTTGAAATAATATGCTTATGTAGGGTTTTTTTTTGCTTTGCTTTGCTTTGCTTTTATTTGTTTATTTATTTAAATTGAAGAACAGTCAGTTACAATGTGTCGATTTCTGGTTACAGCACAATGTCCCAGTCATGCACATACACACATATATTCATTTTCATATTCTTTTTCATTAAAGGTTATTATAAGACATTGAATATAGTTCCCTGTGCTGTACAGAAGAAACTTGCTGTTTATCTATTTTATATATAGTGGCTAACATTTACAAATCTCAAACTCCCAAGTTTGTCCCTTCCCACCCTCTTTTCCCCAGTAATCATAAGATTGTTTACTATGTCTGCAAATCTGTTTCTGTTTTGTAGATGAGTTTATGAGTGTCCTCTTTATTCTTTTTTTAGATTCCAAATATGAGTGATATCATATGGTGTTTTTCTTTCTCTTTCTGGCTTACTTCACTTAGAATGGTATCTCTAGGTCCATCCATGTTGCTGCAAATGCCTTTATTTTATTCTTTTTTTTGGCTGAGTAGTATTCCATTATATAAATATACCACAATTTCTTTATCCAGTCACCTGTTGATGGACATTTAGGTTGCTTCTCTGTCTTGGCTGTTGTATACAGTGTTGCTCTGAACATTGGGGTGCATGTATCTTTTTAAATAGGATTCCCTCCAATATATGCCCAGGAGTGGGAGTGTGGGATCACATGGTAGGTCTATTTTTAGCTTTTAGAGGAATCTCTATGCTGTTTTCCATAACGGCTGCACGGGGCTTGTTGATTTAATTATCGTTTCAAAACTTATCTTAGTTTCATTAACATTCAATATTCAAAAAGGGTACTGCGAACACAAAGTGGGGAAAGATAGTCTCTCCAATAAATGGTGCTGGGAAAACAGGGGATTCACATGCAAAACAATGAAACTGAACCCTTCCTTTGTACCATACATAAAAGTCAACTCAACATTGATTAAAGACTTAAACATAAGACATGAAACCATCAAACTACTAGAAGAAAATATAGAGAAAAACCTTCTTAGCATTGGCCTGGGCAATATTTTTTTTGTATATGACATCAAAAGCGCAGGGAACAAAAGTCAAAATAGATAAGTGAAACTACATCAAACTGAAAAGCTTTTGCACAGAAAAGGAAACAACAGAGTGAAAAGGCAGCCTATGAGATGACAAAAAAATACTTGCAAACCATATATCTCATAAGGGGTTAATATCCAAAACATATTAGGGACTCCAACAGAAGGACAAAAAAATCCCAAATAACCCAACTTAAAAAAGAGCAATGGACTCAAATATCAACCAGTTTCTTCAAGAAGACAGGCAAGTGGCCAACAAGTATATAAAATGATGCTCAACATCACTAATCAAGGGCATGCAAAGCAAAACCATGATAAGATATCATCTCACAACTGTTAGAAATGTTACTATCACTATCAGAAAGACAAAAGATTAACAAGTGCTGGTGAGGATGTGGGAGAAAAGGGCACGCTTTTGTGGGAATGTAAATTGGGGCAGCCATTATGGAAAACAGTATGGACGCCTCAAAAAATTAAAAGTAGAACCGCTTCTGGTCCAGCAATCCTACTTCTGGGTGTGTATCCAAAGGGATGGGAGTCAGAATCACCTGATGCAAGGGTTATCTAACCTACCTGTTGACTGCAGCATTATTTACAACAGCTAAGATACGGAAACAAACTAAATGTTGACCAATGGATGAATGGATAAAAAAAAATATATGTAGATTAATTATGCATTTACTAGAGCACAGGGCAATAACATTTTTGTGAATATCGAAAAATACTACTATTTTTTTCTCAAAAAAGTTAGATCACTTTACACTGACACCATTAAAAAATAAAATCTCTGTACAATTTTCACCTTTTGGTGTTTCATGTCTGCAGAGGGGCACAGCATTTTACAGTGGGCGAAGACAAAAATCACCAGTGTGAGTTCCTTCCCTCAGCCCGTCCTCAGCCCCTGGCACGTCGCTGGTGCTCCTGGCCAAGTCAGGCACTTTCTCTGGCCAAACCCTCGCAGCAGCCTCTGCCCATCAGCCTTGCGGAGTCCGGGCCTCACGCTCCTGCGGGCTCTGTGCGGCCGGGGGCTACTGACAAAGACACCCTCGACTACACTTTAGCCGGCTCCTCTGAACTCCCTCCCCCGGCATGCCCGGGCTTTGGGCGTCTGGTTCTGCCTCTGCATTGCCCAGTTTTAGCAAAACTCCTGCTAAGTCAGTTTAGCCAGAACCTCCCACCCTCAGTACCTGCTCATCCTCAACATCTAATCAAACCCCCTCCTCGTTCTGCATCCCCCAGGCCTGCCTTCAGCGTTCTTACCAGGTTGGTTTGGCCAGAATCCCCTCTTGCTTGCGTTGCTGCTTCTTAGTAATTTCCCATCCACTGCCCACCACCCTGCTTCTTGGCTGTAAGCCCCCATTTGTCCATGATGTACCTGGAATCAAGCACAGGTCTGAACTGAGATCTCTTTTCCTTTATTGCAGCAATGCCTGAATAAAACCTACTTTCTCCGCTTTCACATCTGTCCAGCTCTGGTTTTCTTTAACACTGTGATCCCAGCCCCCGACACTGGAATTCTAGATGCTCACCCGTGGAATCATGGGTCCCGTGGCCGTGGGACTCTCAGTCCTGTGGTCAGCATGTTGCGGATTCTCTTTTTTAAAAATGTATATTTATATTTATATTCTTTATATTTATAGTCAGTTACAATGTGTCAGTTTCTAGTGTAGAGCACAATGTTTCAGTCATGCATAGACACACATATATTCATTTTCATATTCTTTTTCATTGTAGGTGACTGCAAGCTACTGACTGTAGTGTGATTCCCTGGGCAGCACTTGTCAGTGTATGACAAGTCCAGCTACCTGGGTTGGAGCGTTACTGCCTGCTCCCACTACGTGTAAGCTCCGGACACAAGCGTGTGTCCTGACGGTCTGCACCGTCGCATCTCCAGTGCGCAGACCGGGTCTGACGTACCGTCAGTGCCCACTGTTTCCGTATGGGCTGGTGCTAAATGAAACTCACACTCTTCTGGCAGATTAGACAAACGTGGTGTCGAGCTGAAGCCCCCTCGGCCTGAGGTTTGTTTGAGAGAAGATAAAGTAAGCACACATTGTTCTGGTCCTTTTCTTTCCCTGGCGTCTGCGGCTCAGAACGGGAGCTGACTGCTTTCATTTTCTCTAGAATGTGGGCAAAGCAAAGACATCCACTGGGGCAGTACATTGATTAAACCCCAGTTCTGTGCTGGGTCTCGTGCTCGGACATTAGAACCTCTGTCTGGGCTGGAAGGCAGACTGAAAATAGTCGTGAGCCAGTGTGGGAAGAGCCATCCGGGGGCTCTGGAGGCTGGGGGGTCAGCAGGCAAAACGGTGAGGGGGATCCTAAGCAGGCGGGTGATGACACGTGTGTCCCCGGGGACATGAAGCAGATGTTACTCGCTGGGACTGCGTGTGGCT